GAGACAAGAAGAATGCAACAACAACAAGAGAGATAGAGAGTTAGAAGGTAGGTTTTGAAAATGGAGATGGATAAGTAGAGTGAGAGAGTAAAACGAGTAGAGTAAGAGAGAGAGTGTGGAAAAAGAAGACTCTGACCCTATATACCCGGAGTTGAAAGCTAAACACCAAACTTGTTTTGTTCATAACTATCCATCTGAGTACTTTTCTTCTAAAGAGAGAGAGAGAGAGAGAGAGAGAAGAAAAAGAATGCAACAAGAAAAAGAGATATAGAGAGTTAGAAGGTAGGTTTTGAAAATGGAGATGGAGAAGAAGATAGAGCGAGTAAAACGAGTAGAGTAATAGAGAGAGTGTGGAAAAAGAAGATGCTAACCCTGTATACCCGAAGTTGAAAGCTTAGCACCGAACTTGTTTTGTTTATCACTATCCATCTGAGTACTTTTCTTCTAAAAAAAGAGAGAGAAGAAGAATGCAAAATGAACAAGAGATATAGAGAATTAGAAGGTAGGTTTTAAAAATGGAGATAGAAACGAAGAGAGAGTGAGTAAAACGAGTAGAGTAAGAGAGAGAGAGAGTGGAAAAAGAAGATGCTGACCCTGTATACCCGAAGTTGAAAGCTAAGCACCGAACTTGTTTTGTTGATCACTATCCATCTGAGTATTTTTCTTCTGAAAAAAAGAGAGAGAAGAAGAAGAATGTAACAACAACAAGAGAGATGGAGAGTTAGAAGGTAGGTTTTTAAAATGGTGATGGAAAAGAAGAGAGTGAGTAAAACGAGTAGAGTAAGGTAAAAGTGTGGAAAAGAGGATGCTGACCCCGTATACCCGAAGTTGAAACCTAAGCACCGAACTTGTTTTGTTGATCACTATCCATCTGAGTACTTTTCTTCCGAAAAAAAAAAGAGCGAAGAAGAATGTAACAACAACAAAAGAGATGGAGAGTTAGAAGGTAGGTTTTTAAAATGGAAATGGATAAGAAGAGACAGTGAGTAAAACGAGTAGAGTAAGGGAGAAAGTGTGGAAAAGACGATGTTGACCCTATATTACCACAGTGGAAAGCTAAGCACCGAACTTGTTTTGTTGATCATTATCCATCTGAGTACTTTTTCTTCTGAAATAAAAGAGAGAAAAGAAGAATGCAACAACAACAAGAGAAATAGAGAGTTAGAAGGTAGGTTTTGAAAATGGAGATGGTTAAGAAGAGAGGGTGAGTAAAATGAATAGAGTATGAGAGAGTGTGGAAAAAGAAGACGCTGACCCTGTATACCCAGAGTTGAAACCTAAGAACGGAACTTGTTATGTTGAACAATAACCATCTGAGTACTTTTCTTCTGAAAAAAAGAAAGAGAGAAGAAGAGTGCAACAACAACAAGAGAGATAGAGAGCCAGAAGGTAGATTTTGAAAATGGAGATGGATAAGAATAGAGAGTGATTAAAACATGTAGAGTAAGAGATATAGTGTTGAAAAAGAAGATGATGACCCTGTATACCCGAAGTTAAAAGCTTAGCACCGAACTTGTTTTCTTGATCACTATCCATCTGAGTACTTTTCTTCTGAAAAAAGAGAGAGAAAAGAAGAATGCAACAACAACAAGAGAGATAGAGAGTTAGAAGGTATGTTTTTAAAATGGAGATGGATAAGAAGAGAGAGTGATTAAAACGAGTAGAGTAAGAGAGAGAGAGTGTGGAAAAAGAAGATGTTGACCCCGTATACCCGAAGTTGAAACCTAAGCACCGAACTTGTTTTGTTGATCACTATCCATCTGAGTACTTTTCTTCTGAAAAAAAAGAAAGAGAAAAGAAGAATGCAACAACAACAAGAGAGATATAGAGTTAGAAGGTAGGTTTTGAAAATGGAGATGGATAAGAAGAGAGAGTGAGTAAAACGAGTAGAGTAAGAGAGATTGTGTGAAAAAAGAAGATGCTGACCCTGTATACCCGGAGTTGAAAGCTAAGCACCGAACTTGTTTTGTTGATCATTATCCACATGAGTACTTTTCTTTTGAAAAAAAAAGGAGAGAGAAGAAGAATGCAACAACAACAAGAGAGATAGAGTTAGAAGGTATGTTTTTAAAATGGACATGGATAAGAAGAGAGTGATTAAAACGAGTAGAGTAAGAGAGACACTGTGGAAAAATAATATGCTGACCCTGTATACCCGGAGTTGAAACCTAAGAACCGAACTTGTTTTGTTGATCAATAACAATCTGAATATTTTTCTTCTGAAAAAAAAGAGAGAGAGAAGAATAGTGCAACAACAACAAGAGAGATAGAGAGCCAGAAGGTAGATTTTGAAAATGGAGATGAATAAGAATAGAGAGTGATTAAAATGAGTAAAGTAAGAGATAGAGTGTGGAAAAAGAAGATGCTGACCCTGTATACCCGAAGTTGAAAGCTAAGCACCGAACTTGTTTTCTTGATCACTATCTATCTGAGTACTTTTCTTCTGAAAAAAAGAGAGAGAGAAAAAGAATGCAACAACAACAAGAGAGATAGAGAGTTAGAAGGTATGTTTTTAAAATGGAGATGGATAAGAAAAGAGAGTGATTAAAACGAGTAGAGTAAGAGAGAGTGTGTGGAAAAAGAAGATGTTGACCCTGTATACCCGAAGTTGAAACCTAAGCACCGAACTTGTTTTGTTGATCAATATCCTTCTGAGTACTTTTCTTCTGAAAAAAAGAGAGAGAGAAAGAGAAGAAGAGTGCAACAACAACAAGAGAGATAGAGAGCTAGAAGGTAGGTTTTGAAAATGGAGATGGATAAGAATAGAGAGTGAGTCAAACGAGTAGAGTAAGAGAGATATTGTGAAAAAAGAAGATGCTCACCCTGTATACCCGGAATTTAAAGCTAAGCACCGAACTTGTTTTGTTGATCACTATCCATCTGAGTACTTTTCTTCTGGAAAAAAAAAGAGAGACAAGAAGAATGCAACAACAACAAGGGAGATAGAGAGTTAGAAGGTAGGTTTTGAAAATGGAGATGGATAAGTAGAGTGAGAGAGTAAAACGAGTAGAGTAAGAGAGAGAGTGTGGAAAAAGAAGACTCTGACCCTATATACCCGGAGTTGAAAGCTAAACACCAAACTTGTTTTGTTCATCACAATCCATCTGAGTACTTTTCTTCTAAAAAGAGAGAGAGAGAGAGAGAGAGAGAGAGAGAGAAGAAAAAGAATGCAACAAGAAAAAGAGATATAGAGAGTTAGAAGGTAGGTTTTGAAAATGGAGATGGAGAAGAAGATAGAGCGAGTAAAACGAGTAGAGTAATAGAGAGAGTGTGGAAAAAGAAGATGCTAACCCTGTATACCCGAATGTTTTGTTTATCACTATCCATCTGAGTACTTTTCTTCTAAAAAAAGAGAGAGAAGAAGAATGCAAAATGAACAAGAGATATAGAGAATTAGAAGGTAGGTTTTAAAAATGGAGATAGATACGAAGAGAGAGTGAGTAAAACGAGTAGAGTAAGAGAGAGAGAGAGTGGAAAAAGAAGATGCTGACCCTGTATACCCGAAGTTGAAAGCTAAGCACCGAACTTGTTTTGTTGATCACTATCCATCTGAGTATTTTTCTTCTGAAAAAAAGAGAGAGAAGAAGAAGAATGTAACAACAACAAGAGAGATGGAGAGTTAGAAGGTAGGTTTTTAAAATGGAGATGGAAAAGAAGAGAGAGTGAGTAAAACGAGTAGAGTAAGGTAGAAAGTGTGGAAAAGAGGATGCTGACCCCGTATACCCGAAGTTGAAACCTAAGCACCGAACTTGTTTTGTTGATCACTATCCATCTGAGTACTTTTCTTCCAAAAAAAAAGAGCGAAGAAGAATGTAACAACAACAAAAGAGATGGAGAGTTAGAAGGTAGGTTTTTAAAATGGAGATGGATAAGAAGAGACAGTGAGTAAAACGAGTAGAGTAAGGGAGAAAGTGTGGAAAAGAAGATGTTGACCCTGTATTACCACAGTGGAAAGCTAAGCACCGAACTTGTTTTTTTGATCATTATCCATCTGAGTACTTTTTCTTCTGAAATAAAAGAGAGAAAAGAAGAATGCAACAACAACAAGAGAAATAGAGAGTTAGAAGGTAGGTTTTGTGTAACACCCCGTTCTAGAACCGGATTGTTATCATTGCGTACGACATTAAGCGCAGTTACAATCACATTGGTTCAATTAGAAAACCGGATAAATTTTTCCTTTTTATACAAGCCGGATTCAAATAACCAAGTGCGTGATCATAACTATATATACTTCGCGGAATAGTGGGACAAAACTTAATATTATATTCCCATTCTACTTGACAGTACGTCGTTAAATGTCTTCATCACTTTAATTATCAAATTAATTCTAAACTCCTTTTATGATTCCCATCTTCTACTATGTTATAGTATTTTTCATTAGCTACGCGTGGGTTCAAACCGCGCTCAAATCGGAGCACCGTAGCCAAAGTTATGCATTTTCTAAGAAAAGGGTGCGAAACCTCCAGAACCCCCGAGCGTGAGATCCACGCTCAGAGCGTGGGAAAACAGAAAGTTGGCGCCCCAAGCGTGAATCTGGCGCCCCAAGCGTGGATGCTACTGTCTGATCTCGTAATTTGGCGCCCCAAGCGTGACTCTGGCGCCCCAAGCGCCATCCACAGGGCTGGGTGACCCAAAACAAGGTCATTTAACCTACCTATAGTTTTCCACTCATAACTTGAGCTATACTCAAATTACACCATTTTGGTCTCTATGGAAAGCTAAGAGAAATGTCTACAACTTCCATAGAGACATCAAAGTCCAATTCCATCACCTTGGGTATGAAAATTGGTCAACCGGACGAGATGTATTTGTTTTCTCAACATTTTCCAATTTAGCACTAGGTACCTAATATAATTTCCATCTCAACAATCCAATATTCATCATGCATTCATATCCTGGAAGTAAATAGCATTGATACAAGTTTAATTACATAACGGGGGACTTAGCTACAAAAGGCTATGATCATCTCTTGGCTCTCATCAACCAAAGAGATATACAATGGCATGATCATAGGCTAAGTCCATCAAATATAACGAGATATACATACGTCAATGCTATCAATGATCAATCCTATACATGTAAATCTACAAAACAACATGTATGATCTCAAAACATCATTTTCTTCATGCATGATCTACTGCAAATAAGGCCACTTGCCATCAGAGGCTCCTGCAGCATCCTTACCTGAAAGGGGGTCCCCACAACACGGAGTGAGATATACGAATATATCCAGTAAACCAGGGGTCCTTGGAGCATCTCTCCACCCCACAGTTCCATATCAGTGTAATAGCAATAACAATAATAATGCAGTAAATACATATCTATGCAAAGTGCAACACATCTCCAGGAGAAATCCCTCGAGCTCTCAAGCTGTCCTAAGGAAACTCAGATGCAAATAGTCCTACTGGCCAGCTAACTACCAAGTATGATTTACGCATCGTCATGCAACATACCAACATAGGGAAACACCATCCTATGCCACACCAAATGCATACACATACGTATAACAAAGCATTACACTATTTTATTGCATTTATATACACAATCACAACCTCTACCCTTTCAGGGCTTGGTAGAACAGTCAAGGGAATTACACCCAAGGTCCGAAGGCTTACCTCAAGCTTTAGCCAACCTTTGTTCCCACCAACAGTTTCTGCAACCAGTTACAATTATCCACTCACCAAACAAAACCTACACAAGGTTTAATGCAATTAACACATATTGCATCCAATCACATCTCATAGCTATCAACCAAGCTATACAATTCATACCAAACATAAGCATGAACTTACCTATCCAATGGAGCTAATCAAGCTCCATAGCTTGCTCCAATGGTTGGTCTCTCAAGGTTGGTCCAATTGCCTCAATCCTATACAACACCAAGGCATAATCAACAACCAACCAAACCATTTATTAACAAAGCAAGAAATCCAATCTCTAAGTGTCATACTCTTGCCATTTTCCAAATATACTCACTTAGCTATCTAAGCTCATTTTCACCGATTAAATGTCGTTTCTAGCATTTTTCACAACATGCTCTAAGCTCCATTCTTCCTAGAACATAGCTAATTTAACAACATTTCATCAAAACCCTAAAACACTATTCATAAACCCTAACTCATGCAATTTTCCATGAAAATAAGGTTCAAGGGGTAGAATCTTACCACCAATGGTTGCACAACCAAGCAAGAAGCGCTCCTCAAGCTCCCATGGAGGTAGAAATTCCCAAAACCCCAAAATCTCACAAGGGCCGAATTTTTGAGAGGCAATATCTCTCTCCACAATTCTCCCCACTCAAAACTAAGCTAGGATTATGAAAGAGGTGAAGATTTGGAGTGGTTTAGGCTTTGGAATCACTCAAAATGGTTGAGATTAGCTCCCCCTAGGGTTTCTCTCCCTCTCTTCCTTTCCTCCCTCTTCTTCTCTTCCTTCTTCTTCTTTCTGGCGACGGGAATGGGAGGGACAATTGAGTTTCTTTTGTTGCTTTGGTCACTTAACTTATGTTAAGTGGCTTTAAGCGGGTATTGGTTCGTCTATCTATTCAACTCCATTAATTACCAAACTTTACCCAAAAGTCTAGAATATTATTCTAGGAATATTCACAACTTTATTTTTATATTTTGGGCACTTTTGCCAGTACCCATTTATACTCCTTAATTTTCACTGAGTACACTTTTTAACTCCAAAGTGACTCAGATTCATTTCATTAAGCCTTATACTTAATTTTACTCACTAAAACATGCTTAATTATTTAATTACTTGTAATTTACTAATTAATTAGGTTAGGGATATTATATTTTGAAAATGGAGATGGTTAAGAAGAGAGGGTGAGTAAAATGAATAGAGTATGAGAGAGTGTGGAAAAAGAAGATGCTGACCCTGTATACCCAGAGTTGAAACCTAAGAACGGAACTTGTTATGTTGAACAATAACCATCTGAGTACTTTTCTTCTGAAAAAAAAAAGAGAGAAGAAGAGTGCAACAACAACAAGAGAGATAGAGAGCCAGAAGGTAGATTTTGAAAATGGAGATGGATAAGAATAGAGAGTGATTAAAACAAGTAGAGTAAGAGATAGAGTGTTGAAAAAGAAGATGATGACCCTGTATACCCGAAGTTGAAAGCTAAGCACCGAACTTGTTTTCTTGATCACTATCCATCTGAGTACTTTTCTTCTGAAAAAAGAGAGAGAAAAGAAGAATGCAACAACAACAAGAGAGATAGAGAGTTAGAAGGTATGTTTTTAAAATGGAGATGGATAAGAAAAGAAAGTGATTAAAACGAGTAGAGTAAGAGAGAGAGTGTGTGGAAAAAGAAGATGCTGATCCCGTATACCCGAAGTTGAAACCTAAGCACCGAACTTGTTTTGTTGATCACTATCCATCTGAGTACTTTTCTTCTTAAAAAAAAGAAAGAGAAAAGAAGAATGCAACAACAACAAGAGAGATATAGAGTTAGAAGGTAGGTTTTGAAAATGGAGATGGATAAGAAGAGAGAGTGAGTAAAACGAGTAGAGTAAGAGAGATTGTGTGAAAAAAGAAGATGCTGACCCTGTATACCCGGAGTTGAAAGCTAAGCACCGAACTTGTTTTGTTGATCACTATCCACATGAGTACTTTTCTTCTGAAAAAAAAAGGAGAGAGAAGAAGAATGCAACAACAACAAGAGAGATAGAGAGTTAGAAGGTATGTTTTTAAAATGGACATGGATAAGGAGAGAGTGATTAAAACGAGTAGAGTAAGAGAGACACAGTGGAAAAATAATATGTTGACCCTGTATACCCGGAGTTGAAACCTAAGAACCGAACTTGTTTTGTTGATCAATAACCATCTGAATACTTTTCTTCTGAAAAAAAAAAGAGAAGAATAGTGCAACAACAACAAGAGAGATAGAGAGCCAGAAGGTAGATTTTGAAAATGGAGATGAATAAGAATAGAGAGTGATTAAAACGAGTAGAGTAAGAGATAGAGTGTGGAAAAAGAAGATGCTGACCCTGTATACCCGAAGTTGAAAGCTAAGCACCGAACTTGTTTTCTTGATCACTATCTATCTGAGTACTTTTCTTCTGGAAAAAAAAGAGAGAGAGAGAAAAAGAATGCAACAACAACAAGAGAGATAGAGAGTTAGAATGTATGTTTTTAAAATGGAGATGGATAAGAAAAGAGAGTGATTAAATCGAGTAGAGTAAGAGAGAGAGTGTAGAAAAAGAAGATGTTGTTGACCCTGTATACCCGAAGTTGAAACCTAAGCACCGAACTTGTTTTATTGATCACTATCTATCTGAGTACTTTTCTTCTGAAAAAAAGAGAGAGAGAAAGAGAAGAAGAGTGCAACAACAACAAGAGAGATAGAGAGCTAGAAGGTATGTTTTGAAAATGGAGATGGATAAGAATAGAGAGTGAGTCATACGAGTAGAGTAAGAGAGATATTGTGAAAAAAGAAGATGCTCACCCTGTATACCCGGAGTTTAAAGCTAAGCACCGAACTTGTTTTGTTGATCACTATCCATCTGAGTATTTTTCTTCTGAAAAAAAAGAGAGAGAAGAAGAAGAATGTAACAACAACAAGAGAGATGGAGAGTTAGAAGGTAGGTTTTTAAAATGGAGATGGAAAAGAAGAGAGAGTGAGTAAAACGAGTAGAGTAAGGTAGAAAGTGTGGAAAAGAGGATGCTGACCCCGTATACCCGAAGTTGAAACCTAAGCACCGAACTTGTTTTGTTGATCACTATCCATCTGAGTACTTTTCTTCCGAAAAAAGAGAGCGAAGAAGAATGTAACAACAACAAAAGAGATGGAGAGTTAGAAGGTAGGTTTTTAAAATGGAGATGGATAGGAAGAGACAGTGAGTAAAACGAGTAGAGTAAGGGAGAAAGTGTGGAAAAGAAGATGTTGACCCTGTATTACCACAGTGGAAAGCTAAGCATCGAACTTGTTTTGTTGATCATTATCCATCTGAGTACTTTTTCTTCTGAAATAGAAGAGAGAAAAGAAGAACGCAACAACAACAAGAGAAATATAGAGTTAGAAGGTAGGTTTTGAAAATGGAGATGGTTAAGAAGAGAGGGTGAGTAAAATGAATAGAGTATGAGAGAGTGTGGAAAAAGAAGATGCTAACCCTGTATACCTAGAGTTGAAACCTAAGAACGGAACTTGTTATGTTGAACAATATCCATCTGAGTACTTTTCTTCTGAAAAAAAGAGAGAGAAGAAGAGTGCAACAACAACAAGAGAGATAGAGAGCCAGAAGGTAGATTTTGAAAATGGAGATGGATAAGAATAGAGAGTGATTAAAACAAGTAGAGTAAGAGATAAAGTGTTGAAAAAGAAGATGATGACCCTGTATACCCGAAGTTGAAAGCTAAGCACCGAACTTGTTTTCTTGATCACTATCCATCTGAGTACTTTTCTTCTGAAAAAAGAGAGAGAAAAGAAGAATGCAACAACAACAAGAGAGATAGAGAGTTAGAAGGTATGTTTTTAAAATGGAGATGGATAAGAAAAGAGAGTGATTAAAACGAGTAGAGTAAGAGAGAGAGAGTGTGGAAAAAGAAGATGCTGACCCCGTATACCCGAAGTTGAAACCTAAGCACCGAACTTGTTTTGTTGATCACTATCCACATGAGTACTTTTCTTCTGAAAAAAAAAAGGAGAGAGAAGAAGAATGCAACAACAACAAGAGAGATAGAGAGTTAGAAGGTATGTTTTTAAAATGGACATGGATAAGAAGAGAGTGATTAAAACGAGTAGAGTAAGAGAGACACTGTGGAAAAATAATATGCTGACCCTGTATATCCGGAGTTGAAACCTAAGAACCGAACTTGTTTTGTTGATCAATAACCATCTGAAAAAAAAAAAGAAGAATAGTGCAACAACAACAAGAGAGATAGAGAGCCAGAAGGTAGATTTTGAAAATGGAGATGAATAAGAATAGAGAGTGATTAAAACGAGTAGAGTAAGAGATAGAGTGTGGAAAAAGAAGATGCTGACCCTGTATACCCAGAGTGGAAAGCTAAAAAAAACAAGAGAGATAGAGAGTTAGAATGTATGTTTTTAAAATGGAGATGGATAAGAAAAGAGAGTGATTAAATCGAGTAGAGTAAGAGAGAGAGTGTGGAAAAAGAAGATGTTGACCCTGTATACCCGAAGTTGAAACCTAAGCACCGAACTTGTTTTGTTGATCACTATCTATCTGAGCACTTTTCTTCTGAAAAAAAAAGAGAGAAAGAGAAGAAGAGTGCAACAACAACAAGAGAGATAGAGAGCTAGAAGGTAGGTTTTGAAAATGGAGATGGATAAGAATAGAGGGTGAGTCAAACGAGTAGAGTAAGAGAGATATTGTGAACAAAGAAGATGCTCACCCTGTATACCCGGAGTTCAAAGCTAAGCACCGAACTTGTTTTGTTGATCACTATCCATCTGAGTACTTTCTTCTGAAAAAAAGAGAGAGACAAGAAGAATGCAACAACAACAAGAGAGATAGAGAGTTAGAAGGTAGGTTTTGAAAATGGAGATGGATAAGTAGAGTGAGAGAGTAAAACGAGTAGAGTAAGAGAGAGTGTGTGGAAAAAGAAGACTCTGACCCTATATACCCGGAGTTGAAAGCTAAACACCAAACTTGTTTTGTTCATCACTATCCATCTGAGTACTTTTCTTCTAAAGAGAGAGAGAAAGAGAGAGAGAGAGAGAGAAGAAAAAGAATGCAACAAGAAAAAGAGATATAGAGAGTTAGAAGGTAGGTTTTGAAAATGGAGTTGGAGAAGAAGATAGAGCGAGTAAAACGAGTAGAGTAATAGAGAGAGTGTGGAAAAAGAAGATGCTGACCCTGTATACCCGAAGTTGAAAGCTAAGCACCGAACTTGTTTTGTCGATCACTATCCATCTGAGTACTTTTCTTCTGGAAAAAAAGAGAGAGAGAAGAAGAATGCAACAACA